CCCCAAAACCCCAAAACCCCAAAACCCCAAAACCCCGGGAAGAGGAAATAGGATTGAGAAAATATTAATATTTATTAAGAGGGTAAAATATTAGAGCTTTGGGAGGATTAGGGATATATATAGTTTTGAAGAAATCATGAAGGAAGAGTTTGATCACTTGTATAGGATGAGTTTGAAAGATCTAAAGATAACAAAAAAGCAATGTAAGTATAAAATAAGGATTGATATTGTCAATTATTTTTACCAAATTATCATTCTTTCAATGTCTAACCTCTCTTCTTATAGTCATGATTATCTTATTATTAGCAAGCTGTTGTCTTGCTCAAGTAAGTCTTTAATTCAATTTTTACGTTCTTTTGATATACTATCCAGTCCTAAGTCCTTTCTTTTTCCTTTATAATCAGGATATTTTATCTATAAGTCGTACTTTCTGATCAGAAATTATTTAATCTTGAGCACTTTATGTCTTTCCAATAAGATTGATCTGAGATATAGACAGGAATACTTCAAGATAAGTCAGGTCTCTTAATGATGTCAAATCTTGGTAATTCTTACTTATTTTATGGCTGCTAAGTGTTGTAAATACTATTATTTCTGCATTGTCTTTGCAATCCCTAATGTTTTGATATTAATGCATCTTAGGACCTAATGAGTTAAATGAAACTACATTTCCTAAAGTAGAGATTTCAATAGTTGATCCTGACTTGCAAAGCACACAATACAGGTATGACTACTTCTTGCATTAAAGAGCAACTAGCTGATGGCAGGAGAATGAGTCTGATCAAAATATAGTTCATTCTTTAAATTTTTGATATTGATAAAAGTGCCAAAGTCGATATTACTTCTGAATTTGAATAAATTTTCGGAAAAATGCTGAGATTAAGAAATTTGATAGTAAACTTCTTTTGCCCACATAATTTTTTGAGTAATTTCCCCATTTTCATCCCTTTGAAGAGTTTATGATTAAAGATATTCACAGAAGATATCTAGCACTTCTTTCTCAAATAAATAATATGCTATCAACTATCAATTTGAACCTAAAATCTTTTCAGGAATGTTAACAAAAAGTGCACTTTGTGCATTTCATTAGAAGCTTTCCCAATAAAAATCTTAACTTACTATTTAGTTTTAATACTTTTAGTAAGGCACAAATATAAATTTGGCAAAAATTTCTGAATTTATTCGTTTTAAGCCCTTTATTATCTCAAATTTTTCAGAAGAAGGTTTTGACCTCATTATAAAAGTTCCTTATTTTACATTAGTATTAAAATTTGATATCCTTATCATTACTGTTTTAGCCGAAATTGTTTTTAAATGCTTATAAAATATCTAAATGACCTAACCTGATCTTTAAAATCGATTTTTATCCGTTTTTGAAACTATCCGTTATTTTATTTCTTTGATATCCATTATTTAAAAATATCTCAACCTTTTCTAGGTCTTTGTATAACTTTCTATAGCACAGTGATCAACCAAACAAGTAGGAATCTCCAGACTGTCTGTAAGTGATGCCATGTTTGATCAGCATAATTTGTACTCAGGGAGAAAACGGCATAACTGGCTACTAAATTCGGTCAACAAAGTTAACATATCTTTGCAATTAAAATAAATGAAGGCCTACATCCAGTTGCCTTAGAAGTGAATTCTTCATGAATCTCTAGCTTCGTATTGTCTAGCGATGTATTTTTAATAAAGACTTCAGCTCTTTGTGTAAGAAGATTCTATGAAAGCTTAAAGTTAGTTCAATTGTCATGATCTTAAGAGCTATCTTTTGAGATGAGCATACTGGAGTGATGTAGGAGATTGAGAGATGCCTGACAACTAGTTATTTCTTTATAGTGTAATTAGATTGGACATGTCTTATATAAAGCATCATTAATAGCATAAAGTATAAGTATCAAAACCGAACTTGCGCTCCATTGGTTTCACTCTAATGGGAAACTCTTTTTCTTAGTTGAAAATGTCTTAACCATGTTGGTTAATAACCTGTAAATAGCCTTGAATACGTCAACAGTAATCGCAGGCACTGCTTTCAAGATAAGTGTCACAGACATTCCTGGATACACCTACTTTGTAGATTTTAGGAATAGTTGCTCACCAACTGGTAATTATCAATGAGTCGCTACTACTGGAAGGGAGCACGTGATCGACAGTGAATTAAGTGCTGAAATGAGCTATTCTCCAGGAGTCTATTCATACATTTATACAGCAACAAGACCTGGGGATATCACTATCAATGTGATCAGGTATAAAAATGGAGGAATTTTTTACGAATATTATTCAAATCAGTATGGAACAGGCACTCGTGCTCATACTAGTTATGAAAGCAACATTAATGTAGATTTTGGTATTGGACCTATATTCGGAAGTGTATATAATTATGCATATATAAAAGTAAGATCTCTTAATAAAAGCTTTAGATGTATTTTAGATTTCTTGCTCCAGTAACAGGAATATACACTTTTAGGGTAGATGTTGATGATGATTTTACATTCTATCTGGATGGAAATATGATAATTAGTAAGACTTGATGAGGAATAGCAACTGGAACTGCTAGCCTTACAGGTACGGCTGTATTTAATTTGATTTAGCTGGACAGTTTTATGAAGGCCAGGCCTTTTACAAAGAGGTAGATGTATACGCTCTAATTAGATTGGAATGGAGTTATCCTAGCCAGTCCTTTCAGATTATACCATCATCAGCTTTCTATTATCCTGCATACATTAGTTCTCCTAATCAGATAACAGTTGTATGACCAGATGGGTATTCAAAAATGACTATCTCATCCAGACCAGCCTGAGTAACTGTTTGTGGGGATGGTAAAAGAGCAGGTTCAGAAGAATGTGATGATTCTAATAAAAGAAGTGGAGATGGGTGTAGTGCCTCCTGTACTATAGAATCATCATGGTACTGCACTGGAGGGACAACTTCTTCAGCTGATACTTGTACTTTTTGTTATCCAGGGTATTACCCTTCACCAGCTTCTAATCCAACAACATGAGTTTCTCAATGTGGAGACAAAATGCAAGTTGGCTCTGAAAAGTGTGATGATGGTAATAACAACAACTATGATGGTTGTAAGTCAGATTGATCTAGTGTAGAGACTGGATGGGTCTGCTCCAACTCTACATTTGCAAGTGGAGATGTATGAACTCAGTGTGGAAATGGATATGTTCAAAACGATTCTACATATCCAACTCAATGTGTTACTTCATGTGGAGACAGCAAAAGAGCAGGCTCAGAAATTTGAGATAATGGAAGCACAGCTGGAACTGGAGGGTGTAGTTCTGATTGAACTTCAATTACTAGTGGATGGGTATGTTCTGGTGGTACTCCCACCTCTGCTGATACATGCACTCAATGTAGTGCTGGGACTTATCCAAACTCAGCTAAGACTGCTTGTGTGACAATTTGAGGAGATGGTTTCAAAGCTGGAACAGAGAAATGAGACGATGGAAACACCAATAATGGTGATGGTTGATCTTCAGCTTGACAAGTAGAATCAAGCTGGGTATGCTCTGGAGGATCAACTACAGCCAAAGATGAATGCACCTTCTGAGCTACAGGCTGGTACCAGAATAATGCAGCCACTCCAACTACATGAGTAACTCAATGAGGTGATGGCATTCAAGCAGGAACAGAGAAGTGAGACGATGGCAATACTAATGACTCTGATGGATGCAAAGGAGATTGATCAACAGTTGAGACTAGTTGGGTCTGTCTGTATAACGCAGGACTTTCAAAGGATGTTTGTACAGAATGTTCATCTGGATGGCATCAGAATGATGCTTCTAATCCTGAATATTGTGTCACCAGATGTGGAGATGGTCTTGAAGCGGGAACAGAGAAATGAGATGATTATAATACAAACGACTCTGATGGGTGCAAGTCTGATTGTTCAAGTGTAGAGCCCGGCTGGGTATGAGCTGGGGGCTCTACTACAACTAAAGATATCTGCCAACAATGCCAACCAGGATTTTATCAGAATGACGCTACCAATCCTGAAACTTGTGTAACAAGGTGAGGAGATGGGCTCGAAGCTGGAACTGAGAAATGTGATGATGGTAACACTCAGAATGGAGATGGTTGATCATCAGACTGATCTCAAGTTGAGGCCAATTGGGTTTGTATTGGTGGGTCTCCAACATCAAGAGACACTTGATCTAACTGTTCAGCAGGTTATTACCAAAACAGCTCTCTAAACTCTGAATATTGTGTTGCTCTTTGAGGAGATGGAGCTAGAATTGGAGATGAAAAATGTGATGATGGCAATACTCAGAGTGGAGATGGCTGTTCTTCATCATGTACCATAGAGCATGGTTATAAATGATACAATGGATCTCAAACATCTAAAGATATATGCCATAATTGTCCTCTTAGTTACATTCCAAATAAAAGCGAAAGTGATTGAATTCCAAGAAAGATCTCTGACAATATAAACTTCTTTGGTTTTGCATATTTAATGGTGACAGGTATTGGTATTATTGCAAATATATCTTCCCTGGGTCTTTGAAAAACTCCATCACACAATATTCTCGGAATTGTATATTACACACAGATTCTAATGCTTTTGCCTTTGATGAACATTGATATCGGAGAAGATGTGATTGACTTTTTCAGATACACCGAGGATCTATTGTTTTCCTTTAGCTTTGTCCCAAATAACTTAGTGTTTGCATCTCATGATGATATTTTTAATACATTTCACTATAAGCAACAAAACTGGTATCTATATTTATTGGGGCTCAAATCAGGAAGCTCCATCTCAAATTCTATTGATTTTATGTTTGTTTTAACTCTAATTTGCATAATTGCCATTGCGGTGGCATTAATTTATACCTATGTCAAGCATCATGAGCCAGATCGTAATAGGTTCTCTTTTTTTAAAGAGTGAAAGAATTTGTTCTTAGCAGGAATTTGGCTTCAAATTATATGAGTCTCTTTTATTTTTATGCTCATGATCAGCCTTGAAGAAATGCAGACTTCTTCTAAAACTAATAATAATACAGTTTCATATTTCTTTTCATTATTTCTATATTTGATCTGACACTTATTGCTTGTGTTTTCCATTTACAAGTGGTGGGAATGAAGACCTTATGAAAATTTGACAGATTTATGATACACGAAAACACTGTTCGTTGGTACAAAAGATTATGCTCCTGCAAGATGTTTCATATCCATTTGGTTGTTTAGAAGACTTTTCTTTTGTTACCTAGCATCACCAACAAATAATATTGACAAGAATATATTACTTCCGATTCTCATAACGGTTCAATTAATCTATCTGACCTATATCATTGGGATAAGACCATATAAAGTATTCACAGACAACTTTGGAGAAATTACAAATGAACTCTTTATCCTCATATGTTTGATATTCTGGTAAGGTTGTACCTTCTTTACATTCTAACTTACCTATAGATTGATCATAAACAAAGAGAGGCAATGGGATAGGAGCCATAATAGGATTTTCCTGATACTAATCCTAACCCCAAACATCCTATTCACTTGTGTCTCAATAAGTGCTTTTCGCCACCTAATCCTATAGTTGGACTAAAGCTAAGAACTAATACTCTTACAAAAGTGACAGTACTAAACAAGAAGGTAATTTTTATGCTTAAATCTAGGCTTCGCAAAGAACAACCACAATGATAAGAGCTACAAGCATTTCTTATGATACTAATGTATATAGTTCCTTTATCTCTAGGCTGCAATGAACAGGACATTAGGAAGGATGAACTCTAGTAAATTCTTGAGCCAATCAAAGTAAGCGGATCCATTTTTCTCATATCTAATTCTTCCTGTAGGAACAGCCCAAAGTAACTTTTCCTAACATCACAGATCTGGTACTGAAGAGCAAAAGGAACTACATGTTAGCAATATTTTTGGTAAGTGTCAGTTTAGAGCGACCGCTGGATTGCTTTTACTCTGAGAGCAGATAAAGTCTGTAATCCGGCTCACTCATCCTAAGCAATATTGGGGAAAGAAAATTAGCCGTTTTGTAGATGATTATTAAGCATTTTAGTAACAATTGGAAGCTTTCTCTTTGTCTTTTGTATTAGGGGTCTTTCAAATTTAGATTCATAATTCGTGTGTTATCCAGGTTATTAGTTACAGTTACTCGATTTATAATGCTTTATGAATTACTGATCTTAAGTCCTCTTGCGCTGTCATAGAGTATCAAAGTCTACTAAAGAAGGCTAGTTTGCACATGTTTTATTCTATGCTTACCTCTTGATATTCTTAACCACAGTCTTTATCGACATATTATCGATGCAGAATAAATAAAACCTTGAAAGGTTTCAAATTCTCTTGAAGTATATAGACTAAAAGTGCTATAGGAAAAATGGGTAATTGTTTTATAATCTTTAGACACCATCAGAGAGACTCATAAAGAAGACCAAGATAAGAATAGTATAAGATCTGCTCCCAGCGAAGGTATGAATGAACCTAGGCTAATTTATATTTCCTCTGTTCTTGGAAGGTAGCTTTCAAGCTTTTTAATGTATCTAAATAATTTTATATGAGAGGGATTTTGGATAAGAATTGTTTTACCAAAATAGATCTCCAACAGCGAAGCCAGAGCAAACGAATGGTGTGGAAAAACAAAAGATTAATAACATGGAGCCAGAAGAAATCAAATATCAGTAATCAAAATATGTCAGCAGCTATGAGCCTGGAAGACTCGGTGAAGAGAAGTGAGAGTGAAGACAAGCCGATAAAAAGGAGCAAGAAGAGGTCAAAAAAATCGAGCCAAAGCAAATCATCAGCTATGAATAAAGATGAGATAACAAAAAGAACCCAGAACAAGTCAATGACAAATAATTTCAACAGCCCAATGACGAGAAATCGAGATAGCCCAATCACAAGAAGTAAGAACAAGCCAATCAACAGAGACTATGATGAAATAGTAAGCATATGAATTATACCTAGATCTCTATCGCCAACAAGGAAATAAAAAAGCACGAACAAAATACTGATAAAGAGTTTAGGAAAAAATATGCGTATTTGTTTGAATAAGAAGACTATGGGTTCAAGCTCGAGGGAGTTTATGGGGTTTTGGGGTTTTGGGGTTTTGGGG